CACTGTGTCTGCCAACTTGACTAGGGCAGTAGCACTCTCGCACCCGGCGCGAAACATTGGTGCGCCAAAAGCCCACATCGGTGATTTGAGCTGACAGTCTATGCTGACATTCCAGTGCTGTACTGGGGTTGTTAAGGACCCTTTTGAATTTTTTTGTTAAAATAGATCTATCTTCAAAGGGAAGGGACCCTCAGCTGCCTGATTTACTTCCAGTTACTGGGAACAAAGTTCCCTTTCAGATTTTCTTATGAATTAAGTGCCCACAACAGGATGAATAACTGTCGTCACTGAGTCCTTACAAGAATCACCTGTAATCCCACCATTGCTGGTTAATTGCATACTTAAGGGCACATGACTGTGTTTTATCCTGATTAGCCCATGGGTTATTAAGCCCAACCTATATTTTAGACTCTACATTCTGTAACAAAAGTGGGATTTGGCAAACAAAGCATTCTGCCCATCGTATCTGTGTAATTTAAGACCAATCCTTTAATCCCATTTTCCAGCCCTTTCCTCATACCCCTGTAGCTGACTTTGAGATATTTATCTAATTCCCTTCTAAAAGTTAGTATAGATTCTCAACCGTTTTATAGCCTAACTCCTATTGGTGAAACAAATTCTCCTAACCTTCCCGTTTGCTCATTTGCTAACTATCTTAAATTGATGCCCTCTCGACACTAACTCTTCAACCAATGGAAAAAAATTCTCCCAATCAAAACCACTCATAAATGTAAAGACAGATTACCCCTCAAACAAAGGTATGTCTTTGTTTGACATACCTGTCTACTTATCTCTTGAAACCCATAATGGACTCTGCTTCTCCCACCTTATCTTAAGCTCCAGTGACATCCACATCCTCTTTGCTACTTAAGAGAAAGAATGCCATCAACTTTACTCCATGTCTCAGAAATTGCTGTTCATCCCGTTGAGCCTGTGCTTGTTCAGATCTGATTGAGAATCAACCACAACATCACTTCACCCACAGTAGTTTTAATGCTTCTTTGTCATTGTTTAAAAAAACAACTACATTACAACAATCTTTTTGTGATACCTTTTTTTCCTTGTGTAGAAAAACAAACACATAAATACACAATTTCCAATAAAACAATTGAACATTCCCACCTCCTCCCACCCCCAAATAAAACAGTCAGTTAGTTTGAGATGTTCCATAGGACATTCTTAACACTGTAAAACAGAGCATGTTTGTGAGAACCGGAGACCTGTGGGAAGATGGAAAGGAATCTGCAGACAGTTACTTAGCACATCAGTCGCTCTGTGACTTCTTATTCATCTTATCTCGTCGGTTACTTCATCCAATTTTCTGTTCTCCTCTCCTGGATGGGTTACCCTCATTTTCCCTAATCGTGGGATACAGGTACCCTGCAGAACTTCATCCCAAGTGGCCATTCACGGTAAACACCGACAGACTTTTGGCAACTCAGAGAAGGCCCTTTTATGTCCTCCTATGATGGCCACACATTGAGACACATACATTGTCTAAGCCTGTAAGATCATTTTGTCCTAAAACATAGGATTGTTCAAAAACTTGGAAAATTCTTCTCAGATTCAGTTTGATACTTTTTTTTTGATAACTGCAGAAAATTGGCTTCCAAATTCAGGCCGACTTTGAGAATGTTCCACAATCTTAAATTCTAAGAGAAAATGGTCTCATAGACTAAGACTTGGAATTTCAGGCCTCAGGAAAGATTTGAATTGTTTTCTCCCTTCCTATCTTGTGTATTACTGGGATAGGCTTGTCTCAACACATTTGCCAAGTCCTTTTGCTGGGGAACAAGGGAGAGAGAGGAAAGGGTCCTGAACCGCATTTCAATGAAAGCCTTCTCTCTGCGGGAGGATAGGCCCTGAATAGAGGCACCGAGGCACGTGGGGCAAAAAGCCTACCAAGGTCCATGTGCAATGGGAAGCGGATCTGAAAATCAAGCTCTGCGGAGAATAGCAATGGTACAAACAACTTACCATAGAACTACTGAAATCTATTACACAGTAGGAGGAGCTTTGACCCATTGTATTAATGTTAGCAGCCAGTGTAGTATTACAACAATGAGGGAGGGTTGACAGTGGTCAATGTGTGGGTAAATTACCCATTCATTTACTGGGGTTCCTTAACTAACGCTGGCACAAACTATTGCCCACCTGGAAAGTGTGCGTTCAGATTCTAGCCTTCACCACCCTTTAGCAGTCAAACACAAGATAAATGTAAATTTCAGACACTTTCCTAGTGGCCAGGAACACTTAAAGACCAATGTGGGTATTCTGATAAGACCATTGCGATGAAAAATAAGATACTTGCATTTGATATGTGCCATCTGATTTGATATTCATTACAAGTGTAACTCAGGGTTGGGCCATCATTCTGTTCAATGGGACTGAAAGATTCTGCACTGGTGCTCAGAGAACTTAATTGTGCTGCTGTGGTGGGTACGGGTGAGTGGTTAGGGGGTGTGTTTACTTTAAAACATGGCTGGCAATCATCTGGATGATTATTTGTGGGGCTTTGCTGTGTGCAAAGTGTCCGTCGCGTTTGCCTCCAAATATGGTCATTGCACTTGACAGAAAGGTTCCATATTATAGGTGCTAGATCAAATGCAAGTTTTATATAATTTTGATTAGATCTGCCCAGGAACGCGATCCTGCCACTCATCTCCAATTTATTTGGGTGCATAGGTGTTTGGTTTTGCCTATGAAGCATCATCCAAGTGCAGAGGATTTGGATGATGCTTCATACGTTACTGGCTTAACTCTGGTAGACAAAAGCTTAGATTGGCATTGGACCAACAACAATGTTCAACAACATGGACCAACAACATTATTCAAGACTTCTGGCCCTTTCAGTGGTTTTTGTACAGATCTTGGACAATGTCAACACATGTCTCAGGAAAGATAGAATTAACACAGCCCCACAAACTAACCATGCCAGAAATAGGTACATACACAAACTCCTGCTTCCAAGAATGATGTAGTGAAATACGTAGTGTTCCTTTTTTTAACACCAGCATAAAATAGAGCCAGCATAAACTATCAGGTGCTAGCGACCCCTCCAGATAAGTGATTTCTCCCTCTTCAGATCCTAGCAGCTGCCAATTTTCATTAATCTGAGGCAGACAAATTTTATTTTGTAAAATTTAGGCCTTACATTGAACTCTAATTTTTATTTTGGTTAGATAATTGTTTCTGAATGTCGATCTGATGAAAAGCATGCTCTCGTTGGCCAAACATTAACTTTAAGCAGTCGAGCCAGCTAAGGCTGGAAACCTCTGAGCCATTTGCTAAAATAGTGCAATATTTACCATGGTAACGCTTAACACAGGTTTTGGAACAGACCATTCAATATTTTGTGCTTCCAAACCATTCAAAAGGTTGCCATGGAATCTAGATTGCGAGAATTGTAAAAGGATCAATAAGGAATCATTGAGAAAGGTGTGAATTTACATAGGAGGAAAGATGACAAAGCGGTAGCAATATCCACTGTCAGGAAGTGGTCTCTTGTTTTCATACCGGGACGATGCTAGCCACAATCTCCTTTGAGGCGAGATGCGTATAAATGTCAATTCTATCAAAAGAGGGGCTCCCGATTCATTATGTATGTAGAGCATTTATCTTCCAGCATTGACCTAGCGAGCTCTCCCCAACTCAGATTCTTTTTTTTTCGCGAATAGGATTAAAATAGCCAACTTTACTCCAACATCTTGTCACAACAATTTACGGTAAATTCTGTGAAGCTTTTTGAGACATTTTGAAGACGTGATAAAGTGCTATATCAAATGCAAGGATTATCATTATAATCGTTATTATTCTGATTACCTCACGAATCAGGCAGGTACCTGGATCTGTTTTAGGCTTGTCCTCTGAACTTCTGCTGAGGTGCCTTCTACATTCTTGGAGCCAAATCACAGGCAGAGGAGACTCCTGACAGGAGATAGGATGCTCAGACACAGTTTCACAGGGTCAGTTGCAGATCCTCTCAGATCCACTATTTACAAATCCTTTTGCAAATTTCGCAAATTATTTTTTTTCATTGTGCATGTCAAGGTGAGGCATTGCTGGGAACACAGAATACTTTATATCATAGTTGGTGCCTTAAGTCAACATCAAACACTCCCAAGTCAGGTAACACATGGTTAATTCAGAGGAAAGCTCCCTTTGATATGGTCCAATCTTCCATCTGGACTTGAGTCTAAGGCCTGAAATTTCTCACGTCCTTGGCCTGCCAGGTCATTTTGTCTTAAAATTTAACAGCGTGCACAATTGTGAAAAATTTGCACACTCCATATTAATTTGGAAGATCTTTTTTCAAAAAGAAGTTAGCTTCGAAAATGGAGAGTGAATTCAAAAATTTTCCAAAAGTGGGCGCAATTTTATATTTTAAAGCTCCGAGAACATAAGAAATTTGGGGCCCTAAGTTGTCAAATTAAGGGCCAGTTTTGTGTTGTGGTCTCATAATCACTCGGAACTGGGTTGAATCTGCACAGACTCACTTCAGACAAAAAGAGCCCTTGCAGTCAAAAGCCAGAGGTGGCTTTCTTTCCTAAAAGTGTATGCTGAACTCAGCCCTAGGTCCCAGAGATGAAAGGTTAGCATCCAATCCAGCCCTCAATAACAACATCTTATTTTGAACTTACATCCCATCCATAATGGGAGGATGGGAGGGTGGAGTGGGTGAGGGTGGGGTGTTGGGGGCGGGAGGGGAGGGGTGGGAAGGCGGGTGAATCAAAACAATTAAACACATTTCTTCACTTGTCCAGTTTTCTTTTTTTTATATAAAATCCTTTTATTTCAGCTTCAGTATCGCAATAAGTAACACTTGACTGCATGCTAATCTTCCAGCTTCACTTCCTTGGTGAGACAGTGTCACATTTAACATTGATCCAGAGCTGAGTGTTCTGCCCTTCAGCCTGACGAGAACTGGGAACACCCAATGCCTTGCCACGGGCGGCCATGTTGGGGAGACTGCAATGGCCGCCGTGACAGCCTGCCCAGGGACAGACTGTGAGAATGATGAGGGTCCCTTTACGTCCTGGACACTGTTTGGCTGAAATCAAAAACACGGCTTATCGGGTTCATCTGCCTTGTTGGGAAATGGTGACCACAGTAAAGGGTGATGGGCAGAGCACTTCTATTTTCTCCCTCCTTTTTCTGAACCTCCTTGGAGGTCCAATCCCGTTTTCTGGTAATGCGTCGCCCAGGCTTTCTAAGACCCCAATGCCCTCTCCTCACCTCACACCAGGTCTTGGCGGGCTTTGCAGTAATGTCCCACCAGTGACACCCTTAAACCGTGCTTTCCATCACCCACTCCGAGCTACAGTACATCCCCTTTGTACTCTCGAGGTCTTCCTCGTCGTACTGCAAGAGCGTCCCATTCACAGACAGGCTTCTCCTAGTCCAGATGTTTGTTATTCTCCTCGGGTAGTTGTAGCATGGTGTCGTGGCAAAGTCACTCATGTCAAAGGAATGGCTGCGTTTCGTCTTCACCTCCATGGGCAAGGTGAGCAGCTTATTCAGTCTGGACTCGCTGTGGCCCAGCAGAGGCTCTTTGTCTGAATAGTGAGCCAGCGTGGACGCTCTCGACTCGCAATTGTCTTCCTTTCTCTGGCATCTCAAGTCGAGGGAGGCGAACGCACCCATAAGGCGGTCAATGTTGTGTCGGGATTTGGACCTGTGCCTCCATTTCTTGGAAAGGGTGCTGGCGTTGCTGTTCAGGCTGTAGCAGTCCTCACAGTCCTGGCTCGAGCCGGTGGAGGAGGACATGCTGCTGTGGATAGACCCGCAGTTGAACTCCAACATCTCGTCCCGCCCCACCACCTTAGGGTTCAGTTGGGGCAAGATCCCGTTCAGCACAGGCTGCCCGCCGTTGGTCTGCGAGCAAACATTGTTAACGTCGGGTAACTTCTCCTGACCGTTACACAGCTTGTACTTGATCGTCAGAATGATGATAAAGACCAACAGAGAGGCCACAATGATGCCCCCAATGATCAAGATCATGGTCCCGCCCAGGAACTGGCTGTGGAATGACTTGCACTGGGTGTAATCCTCACTGGTCGTGAACCGGACGCAGCCCACCACGTTGGTGGCGGTCAGAGTGGTCAATGTGTCGTCCCATATGGCCAGGACACAAAGGTCGTAATTCGAGGAGGGCACTAAGTTTTTCACCACAAAGGCTTTATTCGAAGCAGGGATCATCCTTCAAAAAGGAAAGCAATGACAGGATTACAACAACAACAACAAATTACATTTGTATAGCGTATTTCACGTCTGAAGGACATCCCAAGGCACTGGACAGGCGGGAATTACCCATAGTTATTGCATCTGTAAAGCCAATGAAACAACAACAGCAACAATTCACATTTATACAGTGCCTTTCATATCTAGAATACCTCTCAAAGTGCTTCACACAGTTGACTACGAATCCGAATGGGGGGGCTAAAAGGGGGGCTGCTGAGGAGGGGTAGGTGGGCGGAGATGGCCAAAAGAGCGGTCGAAAAGACAGGTACTAAGGTGGTTTTGAGGGCAGGGAGGGAAGTGTTGAGGTGGAGGGATTCCGGGATAGATATAACAGTGATCAGTGATTCAATCCTTTGGAAGAAGTGGAGCCATTGGAGCCAAGCAAGAATGAGGTATGATACATTTGTGGAGCCTGGTGGATCTCTGCATGATCTGAATTTTGTGTAGGGAGGGGCTGGGAAGTCTGGTAAGTTGAGCATTAGAATAGTCGAGCCTAAACATGGTGAAGGCATGAATGAGGAACTCAGCAGCAGCCTGTGGGGAGAGGTAGGGTAGAGGCAGGTGACATTGCAGAGATGATGGAAAACTGAGCAAGTGAAAGACTTGATGTAGGTTTTGAAGGACAAGCGGGAGTCGAACAGAACATAGAGGTTCCGTATCAGCTCCAGGAGTTGTAGTGAATGCAGTGAATATCTGTGCAAGTCGATGCAACCAACACTGATGGGAGTCAAGCAGAAGGACATGTCAAATTTTTCGCAAATATTTGCCCCAACATTTTTTGTAGGCAAATGAGGCAACCATTTTGTGAACAGCTAAATCCCACAAATGACTGTGAAGGGAATGACTAGTTCATCTAGAGGACACTGGGAAAAGCATCCTTCTCTTACGTCCACCTAACCAATGCCAATTGGGGGCTTCACCTTCTGCCATAGAAATGGGATTTGTACCAACTGAACCACGCTTTCTAAATAATAATAATCCTTTCATTTGATATAGCGCCTTATCACGCTTTCTAGAGGTCTCAAAGCGCTTCACATTATGTACTGTAAAGTGAATTGATTGTACGTTTTGTGGGCGAAATCTGCAGCCAATGCCCCACAAACAGTCATGATTTAAATGATGAAATTATTATTTTTTTAAGGGATTATTAGGCCCAGAAAAGTGATCCGCCAATCAACTAATAATCAGGTTGCTACTTGCTGCTCGGTAAACAAAAGGCGTGTGGAGTAAGGAAACTTGCCCAATGTTTTGTCCTACCTGGGAATCAAACTCAGGTCCTCTCTCTTGAGAAGCAAGTGTTCTAACCACTGAGGTACAGGACTCCAGGAGTAGAAAAGGGAATAACTAGAAAATCACACATATTTATGTGATCTTTGTAATGAATTTCCCTTTACATTTATACACACACGCACAAACAAACACACACACATGCACATACACAGACACACCCAAATGTTCAAAAACACAGAGAGTGGCGTACGCCTACACACAAAGAGACCTGCACTCACAAGCAGGCACCACACACACAACACACACACGTGCTTGTGCGTGTGCTCAGTACACATAATTGACTGCCAGAGCTGAAAGGCACTCAGAAATTTAGTGACTCACTGGCTTTATTTCAAAGGGAGAATTAATCTTGTCAAACTAAATCTACAATACCCACAATCTCATTATTGTTTAATTTGATTATGCTCCCATTCATTTACTCTCAAAATTAAATATGCAAATAACCAGCCCCATGTGAGAATCTGTTCATCCTGAAGCAGCAGAGAAGAAAGTCTCTGCTAAATTTGTTGAGATATGAAGAGTTCCGTCTGCAGAAATCCCTATTTTACACGTCATGTCTGAAAAAGCATCATTACTTTTTGAAGATGCTAAAAATATCATATTTAGTCAAATCAAGATTCCAGGCCTAGGGGTGATAGCTGCGATGTTAAGTTCTAATGAACTTAGACTGTGCATCACTCCAGAGTGACTCTTCGCTGTTGAGTGAGGTATCAGCCTGTCTCTGTCAGTAACATTATTAATCTGTAAACCCCATGCCACAAGCTTTGAGCTCACAGTTCAGGCTGACATTACAGTGCAGGAGGAGCTCTACAGACTTTAAACTAAGTTCTTGTCTGCCTCTTCCAGTGGACATTAAACAACTAAATAATAATAATAATCCTTGCATTTGATATAGCGCCTTATCACGTCTTCAAGACATGTCAAAGCGCTTCACAGAATATACTGTATATATATATAACGGTCTTCTGACCAACAAACAATTTGGGCATTTGCTGTTTGGGGGACGTTATTGGTGGATTCACTACACTTGAGAGCATTTTTCTGTGAGATATGTGCGTTATATCAAACATTATTCATTAATGATTATTCAGTTGTCACACAGGTTAAGACTAGGTGGAAATGCGTGCGCTGAGAAGCCCGTGATTGTGATGAAGAGCGATGCTTGGCATCCCATCTTAACAATCAACGTAAGGTCAGTCAAATTTTCAGAAGTAGCCTTTCAGGGCATTGGCATGGGTGGAGGGAGAGGGCGAAATCTGCTTCAACTCACCCAGAGTCAGGTGGGTGCATTAATCCTTATACATTCATTAAATTGAATGTATATGTTAGTCAGCGTATAGGTCTGAATTAACACATCCACATATCACCCGTTGCAAATTCTACCTGGACCTCTAATACATGTGCAAATCTCATATTTATATCTTGCCCGTCATGAAGACTATTTCTGAGCCAGGCTTCTATCTTTCTCCACGTGTAGGTATTGACTGCTTTCCCAGGTCTGTGCTCCTCACCTATCCTATTTATCATAATTTTTATTCTTTTTCTTCCCAATATTGTGGTGATCAGAACTGTATCCAGTTCTCTAGGCATGGCCTGACCACAGACCTACACAGCTTGAGTATGATGTCTGGGGATCCGAATGTAACTGATCTGACAATATAGCTCAGCATCCGGTTTGCCTTGTTTATTGACAACTCACACAGCTTTGGCACAGTGAACGATGAGTCAACTAACTTCCCTAGATCTCTTTCAGCTTCCCCCTTGGCCAGTTATCAGCATTTGCTAGTTATTATTATCATTATTATTATTATTAATAATTCCTCTCTCACATCACACCTGGGCCCTCTCCCGTCACCACCTGATGTCCACACACCCACACAGCTTCCAGCAGTGATGACTCTGCACAGCGATGAAGAACAGGAGCTCTAGCTAAACCGAAAGCCTGAAGAAAACCACTGGAAACTAAACTCATGCCGCAATCGAGATCAGGTAACTCAGCACAGGCTGTGATTTGAATCTGTGCATTTCTAGACTGTATGGCCCCAGTCAAGGTGGGCAAAGCACAATCTCCATATCATCCACTTGGCCATTAAGGGAACTCACTCAAGGGAAATCTGCTTAGTTATTTTTTTTTGTAAATGCATTCATGATTTATTCATCTCTAACATCTTCAAAATTAATAGTGCAACGAATTTCACCAGAACAAATATCAGAAACAATCTGTTTAAATAATAAATACTCCTTGAAATAATCTTTGAAGCGTCTCAAGGTACATCACACTGTCAAATGTAGGTACTATGTATTTGTAAGGAAATGCAGCAGACAATTGGTGCACAGCAACGTTCCACAAACAAACCACAGAGTAAATGATTAATTTATCTGGGGGTTTGTTTGTTAGCACATGAGGAGAAACTGTCTTTTCTATTGATCACAAGATCCTGTGGAGTCCTGTAACTTAGTGGTTAGAGCACTCATCTTGCAAGCGAGAGGACCTGGCTTCGATTCCCAGGCAGGGTAAAATGTTGGGCAAGTTTCCTTACTTCACGTGCCTCTGTTTACCCAGCAGTAAGTAGGAACCTGGTTGTTAGTTGATTGGCGGATTACTTTTCCGGGAATGATAATCCCTTCAAAAAAAATGTGGTCACTCAATCCACGACTTTGTGTTTCAGCCACAATATATGCAATCAATTCACTTTACAGTATATTCTGTGAAGCGCTTTGAGACGCCTCAAACACTTGATAACACATTATATCAAGTGAAAGGAATATTATTATTGTCATCTTAAATGTCCAACAGGCAGGTAAGGACATTGGTTTTAACATCTTATGCGGAGGATGGTGCCTCTGACAATTCTATGTTCTTCCAGCACTGCACGGGAGTGTCAGTCTGGAATGTGAGCTCAAAGTCCTGATGTGGGGCTTGAACCCATAATATTTTGATTCAGGGGCCAGAGTGTTGCCAACTGAGCTAATTTATTTTTTCTTGACAGCTGGTTAAGGCGACAAAATATTATAAATATTATAAATTTGTTGCGAGTGAACAAACTGGGAGTTAATGCTAAGAGTTACTACTAATACTAATGAAGAAAATTGATTGCTGAGGATTTAGTGCTATTCAGCTGTCCGTTTAAAAAATACACATAATCCTGTTTTCAATTATACAATAAAATTGCATTCTGGAAGTCACATTGAATTATATTTTAAAGTTACATTACTGTTATTGCCCAGGATGTAGAAGAGCAACAAATTTGCTACCTGGAGTTGAGTCAGCACTCTGAGATGCTGGGTCTCAATTTGGGCTTTCATAATTATAAAAAAAAAGCATAAACTTGTGATTTTTCATGACCAATATGTTACTTGTACTAATTAACACAAGTAACATATTGGTCATGAAAAATCACAAGTTTATGCTTTTTTTTATATATGTATTAATTCTCTTCCACATGAACAACTTATGCCTGAATTTTGCTTGACATTTACCTTTTCTAGCTCAGGAACTGACTACCACAGCTTCCAGCAGAAATATATGTTACTTTGAGTGTCAGTCAGGACTAGTATTTACAGATATCCTTTGGAGTGGAAAGTTAACATTCTATCCGTGGAGCAAGTCATTGGGGCTCTAAATTAAAGGGGATGGAAGTGGCAAATCGTGACTCATTATTAAATATAGTTAAACATAGGCTGGTTATCCACTTATCCACTTACCTGTATTGGCCTCTGACACAATAGCATAAACAACAACTTGCATTTATACTGTATAGCACCTTTCACCGCTGGATAGCATAACAGAACAATGTCGTAGTTTGATGCTGAGCGGGGAGAAAGAGAAGCTGACCATAGGCACGATCAAAGAAGAAAGTCTTCAGGTTTGAAGATGAAGAAAGAGAGGGCAAGACTGAAGGATTGGGACAGGGAGTTCCAGAGGTTTCGGTGTAGTGGTTGAAAGCATAGCGCCAAATGCGGAGCCGAGGGGCCGAAGGCCCAGGCCAACTGAGTCAAGGAGAGGTGTAGACATACCGGGACATGAAGTGATTTGTTGGTGAGTGTGAGGATCATGAAATCGATTTATTTGGTGACAGGGAGACAATGGAGCCTGGCAAGGACTGGGGTGATGGTGGTGTGGAGTTTGGCACAGGTGAGTTGTGGAGCTTGGCACAGGTGAGGTGTGGAGTTTGGCACGGGTGAGGAGTTTTAAATCACTTGGCTTTTGTGAATAGTGAAGATCAGACATCGGATGTGGGGTAGGAAGGTCAACTGGAGATCAAACTGGATGCTTAGGTTGCACACAGGTTCAGTGAATCTGAGGGATACGCCGGGAGGTTTAGGAAGTCAAGGCCACAGATGACAAGATTTTGACAGGAGCCAAGGAGAATCACTTAGATAAGAAGCCACCGGAAAACATGTAAAAAGTTACTGGAACGCAGTTTAGGGTTAAAGTTAGAAATCATTTTTTTTAAAAGAGGAAGCGACATTGACAGAAACCGAGATAAAGATAAGAGCAAATCAGAAAGAAAAGTTACAGACAACATGTCGAAGTGAGAAAGAGAATTAAGGGAGAGAAGGAAAATTAAGAGAAAGAAGAAAAGGAAACGAATAAGAGAGAGAGAGAGAGAGAAAGTAAGAGAGAGAGAGAGAGAGAGGGGCTGACAATGTGGTACTACAGTGACAGTATAACTCATGATGGAAGAAGTTTGCAGTTAGCTCTGTAGCCAATTATATTTGTGCGATGACCCACGTTGCTTCCATATCCACAATGGGACTGGCCCCAATTAGTACAGATAACCAGCTCTCTTTTGGTACCCTCAGACGTCTTTGACCACAATTTGCCTTTGGAAAAGCATACTGAATGTGTAGTGTGTGTTACTTATTTACCTGTAAACTAAGACTTCATCAGTTGAGCTGTTGTACTGAAATTGGTACATTTTAACCTTTGGGGCAGATCTGCCCACTGACCACTTGACCAAGGCAGTGCTGGCAGTCACATCGTACACCTTGACCACTTTCTCTGGTTTTGACATCGTTTCTCCTCTGTATGTTTTGGAAGAGCTTGTGATATCAGACAACCTGGAGCCCGGCTGTACGGCCCGGCCTGTGCCATTGCTCAGGTGAGGAAGCTGGACAATGGACAGCTCTATTGAAGCAGTCGATTCACCGGCTGCATTGGCTGCAATGCAGGTGAAGGTCCCATAATCTTTCGAAGTGGTAATTAGAATGTCCAAGGTGCCATTGTCATAGATGACAGTCCTTGAGGAATTGCCTAGGATTCTGTCATCCGGTGCTACCCAATGGATGACGGGCTTTGGATCGCCAATGGCCTTGCATCTCAATGTGGCTGTCTGACCTTCCAACACAAGGACCTTGTGGCTGTGCTGAGTAATGAGTGGTTGCTCACACACAAACTCTTCCTCCGGCACGTACCAGAAATACCTTCCTTTCAGGTGAGATGGAGAAGCACAGGTTTCCATGTCATCCTCACGACTAAGCCTTCGGAGCCAGAGGAGCTCACAGTTACAGTGCAGCGGGTTTCCGCCAATGCTTAGAGACAATGGTGCAAAGTACGGGGTGGTTGATAGTACGAACGTCTCTGATCTTGCAAAGATTGGGTCAGGGGGTAGCTTCTGTAGCCTGTTAGAAACCAGGTCCAATCTGGCCAGTTTCAGCAGATCTGTGAAGGTTCCCTCGGGGATGTAGTCAATGAGATTGTGATCCAAGCTGAGAGTGTGTAGGTTAATCATCTTACCCAGAGCTTCCCATGGGAGACTCACAAGGTTATTATAGGAAAGGTCCAAATCTTCTAAAGTCAGCAAGAAGTCATCAAATGCTTCATCTAAGATGCTGTTCAGTTGGTTGTTGTTTAGTATCAAGTGCTGCAGGTTCAGCAGGCCCCTGAAGTCATTACTCCCAATTCTGGTCAACCTGTTGCTGTCCAAGTGCAATGACCGAAGGCTTTCCAGATCAGCAAAGGAATAGGGCTGGATGTAATCAATGGTATTCCTGGATAGAGTTAGGTCAACAAGGCCTGTCATATTGCCAAAATCCTGTCGATTTATACTTAGAATGAAGTTGCCTCCCAGCCGCAATTCGACTGTCCGCCGGTCTATGTTTGGTGGGACAAAGAGAAGACCCTTGGAGGGGCAGAGCGTTCCCAATGATTCAGACAGGTTTTGACACACACAGTATTTGGGGCAAGCATAGACGGTAACAGCCATTCCAATTACCAGCAGGTTACAGAGCAGCTTTTCCATTATAGATCATGTAGAGGTACCTGCAGAAAAAACAGACAACATTGAGTATTCTGGCCACATATATTAAGCAGAAAAATTTGCCTTCAAAAATAACCTGTAACCTAAGGCTACATTTAACCTTAAGAAATGAAATGTTTTTTTATCGCAGGCTGACTGGACATAGAGAATTGAATTTCTTTTGGCAACAATTCTCCAGATAAATTTGTTGTTCACTTCATGCCTCCAATAATGTGCTTTGGGTAAGATGTTCAATCGAGGTCCCTTCTGCCTGTTTGGGTCAACGTTAAAGATTCCATGGCACTATTCGAAAAGAGAAAGGTATTTCTAGCCAACAATCCCCTAGATAAAATTGGCCATTCAATTCATGGCTATTTGTTGTGAGTAAATTGGTTGCCGCATTCACCTTCAAATACAGTCACTACACAATACAGTAAATCCTGTGAAGCGCTTTGAGATAGCTTCCCGACATGAAAGATGCTATATCAAATGCAAGAAGTATTACTACTATGGCTGTTTATAGGACCTTGTTGTGAGCAAAGTGGTTGCCATGTTTGCCCACAAAAACAACTGTACAGAACACTGCAAGCGGGCCCAGTCAAACCAGTCCATTCTGGGGTTGATATTCCACATGAGCCTCCACCTTCCCCTCTCCCATACCCCTCTAATCCCTTCTTCTTAATGTACTCATCAACACTCTTCTATCATAAGTTGAAGCTTTTTTCTTCAACCACAGGTTTCGGTAGTGAATTCCACATTCTCACCAAGCTCTGCACGAAGACGTTCTTTCTTTTAGATGCTCCCAGGTCCCGGGATCCCTCGGCAAACAAAATCGGAGATCATATCCCATTTGTTCATTATGGCATAAAAAAATATTAACCAATGAGTCAGGGCATTTCCTTATAGCCTACTAATGATATATAATGTAGCTGCAATATAATTTCTGGTCTTGGGCAACAATACTAAAAACGGTTTCTCATCATTGTCACATGAAACATCTCTAATTTGCGAACAAAATTACAGAACGGCAAAAGGAAACATGCTGATCACCTTAAAAAAATGCAATCCGTCAGCAAACCGTGCACTCAGTAGCTGTCAGCGAGAGGAGGAATAAGACCCAAGTCATCATAAGCTGGTCGTGAGCAACATTCTATAGTTATCGCAGACCTTTAATTCCTGGTAACACACTCAAACTTATCAATTATGCAATATAGGTTCTGAATTAAGTATGATTTATCATATGGGAGCGTTGATTTTACACAAATGTACACCACCTCATGAATCACAACTGCCTCTGGCCCTTGTGGCTTATTTAGTCTGACATGGAGCAGCAGTTAATTTTTAAGCAATCTACGACTCCCAGCTGTGAATCCTCTATTTAGTAAACTGTGTGGTAAAAACTATAGCCCCAACACTCTCCTCCTTTACATCCCATATAAATTGGCCTGTCACCATCTAAAATCAGTTTGCTTTCATCATGCAAATGGGGCTTGTGGCTGTTCAGCCATTTTCTCTTTATTTCGACGCCTTTGGTGCTAGTTTGCTGTAATGAGTCCATCACTCAGGGCCCATCAAATGTGACTGCAGATAAATCTTACAATAATAGAAAAAAGTAATTAAAATGGACTGAGCGGTGCCATTTATATATAAAAAAATTGTCGGCGTTCGTATTTAAGTGAGCGCCTCAGGAATCGCAGCGAATTGCTTTACAGTGAGGTAGACCTGCGTTGCTGTGTGAACGCAACAGCTGTTGGGTTTGTGGTTCGGGATCAGACAAATTGGAATATTTTAATCACAAAGGTTTACCTCTCGGACTCAGCCTTCCCCCACTCTGTCCTCTACATTCAGTAATTCCTTGTGCCCTCCGTTCCACCATTGGTGGCTACACTTTCAGTCACTATGCTCCAAAACTCTGGAACACTCTTCCCTATCCCTCCTTCCCCATCTTCCTCTTCGACCGTGCCTACAGTCGCCTCCCCTCTCCCCTCAGCTCGGCCTTGTGATCCGCCATTGTCAAGCGCTCTGGGAGGTTACCCTGCATGAGGGACACTATATAAATGCAAGTTGTTGTTGTTAAACCCCCAAATGGACGTCAGGCTGTCTCAGTCAGTTGCACTCATGCCTCTGGAATGGATGGTCTGGAATGGATCGCCACAGGACTTTGAGCTCATAGTCTTAGCTGACATTCCAGTGCAGTGCTGGTGGACAGTTGCATTGTTGGAGGTACCGGCCTTCATAAGAGGTGTTAAATTGAGGTTCCACTTGCCTGGTTTTCAGACAGACATTAAAAGATCCATTGGCTCTATTTGAAAAAAGGTTAGTTTCCGCCCAGTGTCTAACAATTCTCCAGACAAATTTATTATTCATAGCTATTTTTGGGTACTTGCAGTGCATAAATTGGCTATGCTTTTGCCTACAAAAACACAATTAACCGTGAAGTATTTTGACATTAAAAGCTCCATATCAAATGCAAGAATTACTATATTATTTCTATATTATTATTATTATTATTATATTAAAACATTGTATCTGACAGTAGATTTACCAATTCTGGCAGGTGAGCATATCTGATATTTGGCTGGTCAGTGAATGCATCAGCTCAATAAATGGAGTTTATAGTGGGATTTCACAATCCTATCATACCATTGAAATCACAGGGGAGGATTCCACAAAATCCATTTGATTTCATCCTTCAAACTCCACCATCAGTTTCTTACAACATCAAGCTGTTTCTTAAATGAGTCTAGTATCTTGGCCTCAATCATCTTATCTGGTAATCTGTTCCAACTGGTGATTCCACTCCAAATATTAATAAAATAGCCTTTTAACCCCTGAGTGTGTGTGTCCCTTGCCTCGCCACCTCAGTTTATCTGAAAGTACTGATCTGGCAGCGACTCCTGCTTCTAATAAGGGCAGAAGAGAGGAAACAAAATCCTGATGAATGTCTCAACACTTTTGGAGGCTGGACTCTTTCTCTGTCTCTTAGGGGCTTTACTATCTTTTTGACGTGCATCTTGACATGACCCTGAAAGTTATTGTATCTTTATCTGTGTGTCTCTATGACTTTCTCTATCTCTATACCCTATGATTATCTCTAGACTAGTCAAACATATAAGCACTGACATTCAGGCGAAGTCTATTTAGAATGGACAAGATTTTGCTTCACACCAGCAAGTAAAATTCATCTTAAGAAACCCCGTGGTGCATGATTACAGCTTCACACATGAGTGGGGGAGGTTTGGTCTCCCCAGTCTCTATAGTAATAATAATAGTAATTCTTTTATTTGATATAGTGCCTTATCACGTCTTCGAGACTTTGCAATATGCTTCTGTCAGAATATACTGTAAAGTGAATTGACTGTATATCAATTGAATATTGACTCCTCCCGGCCGGAAAGGCGCTATACAAATTTAATTTTGTTGTTGCTATTTTTGTTGTATATGTTGTGGGCGAAATGCGGCAGCCAATTGCGTACAGCACTTTCCCACAAACATGGATTCAAGTAACCAATTTATTATTATTATTTTTTTGAAGAAATTATTACCCCCAGAAAAGCGACCTGCCATTCAACTAACAACCGGGTTCCTACCTACTGCTAGGCAAACAGAGACATGTGGGGTAAGAAAACTTGACCAACACTTTGCCCTGACTGGGAATCAAACTCAGGTCTCTCGCTCGCGAGGCAAGAGCTCTAACCTCGGTGATGGGTCACCCACTGGTTCTGCGTTCATTTTTATCACATTTAGCTGTTTATATACAGCAGTTACAATAAAATTTAGAAAATCAGAGGAAGATTGAAGGTTGGACTTGCATTTGATAAATGGATCCGTACTCTCTTTATAACCCCACCGCAGGCTATAATGAAGCAGAGAGCAGATAGGAAGTTGTACTCTTCACCTGACAGGGTTCTGAGACATTACAAAGTACTGCGGATGGTGAGTGATCAGTTCTTGCCTATGTCCAATTCACCGGCGGTGTCAGAGAAATTTAGCAAAAAAAAGATAAAAGAAGTAGACAACACGATCCCATGAGGTGACTGGAGTGTGTAGTCTGGGTGTTAATGTAAAATGTTGGAAGTTTAGTGTACATGCCCACAGCCTCCAAAGGTCATTAGATTGCAGGATCTCAGGATTAGGATTGTGTCAGCCTGGCTCAGGTGGTAGCTCTCTTACCTCTGAATCAAAAGCTTGTAAGTTCAAGACCCATGTTGGTCCAGGCTGACAGTTGTGCCATACCGAGGGAGCTCTTCACTGTCAGAGGTGCATTTCTTTTGGTAAGATATTAAATCTGCCTGGCTGATCTTCAGGTGGATGTTAAAGATCCTGTGGCTTTACTCGAAAAGGGAAGGGAGGTTCTTCTGGTGTCCTGGCCAAAAATCACCCAGATAAAATTGGTCATTTACTTCATGGCTATTTGTGAGACCTTTTTTCCTGCAAAATACACACTCACTACGCTTCAGGATATATCTTGTGAAGCACTTTGAGAGATCCTTGTGACATGAAAGGTGCTATATAATGCAAGTAGAACATAAGAATAAAACTGACATCAAACAAGACTAAAATAGATTCTCCTTCCCCCACTTCTGCCCCCCACATACAAAGAAGTAGATATCAAAGCATGTTCCCAGCTTTAATTATAAATAATAAATAAATATAGTGAGTGCCTAAAATGCCAAAATGTCTCAAAATCCTTAACAGGGAAGTGCTGTCTAATGTATTTGCAGGGAAACATATCAGCCATTTTGCACCCAGCAAGATCCCACAAGCAACCTAGAAGGAAATGATTAGTTTTTTTGAGGGATTGTATGTTTGAGACACTGGAAGAAATACCCTTCTCATTTCACATTGTGTCATGAGATATTTAATATCACCAGAACACACAGATGGGAGCTTGGTTAACAACAACAACAACATGCATTTATATAGCGATCCTCACGCAGGGTAGCATGCCAGAGCGCTTGACAGTGATGGAGCTTGACACCTCATCTGATTAAATGCCTCAT